AGACAGCTTACATATTACACTTAAAAGTACATGTGAATTCTACAGAAAGTTTTCGAGTTGAGACATTTGTCATCCTTAACACATGTTTTTTATGATCTGTGTACAATTAGTTTCACATCGAAATATAAAGTGAATTGTTATGTTAATCGAACGACCGTAGTAAATTGTCTTGACTAAGATGTCAAGAATACTCTCATGAAAGTATTATGGAATGAAATGTATGAAAAACTTATGTCATGCCAAACTACATAGTTATGTGAGGCGACTAATGTGCGAGAGGGAGCGCGACAGCTCGATCCTATTACATCATAAGAAGAGGTTCGAGGTGTGTGGTTCGATTCCTATATGGAGTGATTGTATCGCAGGAAGATAACGTAAGAGACCGGCCTGTGCTGTCTTAGTTTTTTTGTTCTTGGGAAAGACATTTTACACCAGTGGTTCAAGATATCATGCGGTGGGTCTCCTGCAGAATGTTCAGTGTGGTAGCCACCAGCTACTACATGTTTATGTACAAGGACATCCTGCCTTAACATAACTTTGTCTGCTCATGTGGAGATAAACGCAGCCAGCCAGAAAAGAAAACGTTTTGGAAATATAGAAAGCAAGTTCTTGACACTGGCTGTACGACGAAGTCAAAGGAACTCTGCCTGTGGTCAGAGCGAGTTATACATGTGCTGTGCCTTCTTCATTCTGCTTATGATGAACCTTCCTACTAAAGTTCTATAATTTGAAATACGCACCTCTAGATATTGGCCATCAACTCATGATATCAAAACGGTCGTTATAGACAGATGTCGTTATACAGAACTATAAAGTAAGTCGCATAGACTTTGGTTTACTTATAAAATCTGAATCTAATCGGACCACAGCGGCTGGTGTAGGTTTTACCTGTACGGATGTATTGTAAAGATTCGGTAACAAAACGACAGGGCATGCCATATACTTCTATTGCAACAAGAAGGAATCTATTGTTTAGTGATATTTAAATCAAACTTGTATAAATAGTGTCAAGGGAGTTGTTTGTGTGACGGATCGTTAAAAAAATCCAACGTCATTATGTACTTTTTAGTGAGATAACAATCTCGTTTCTACCTGTAGTACATGTACACATCTAAACACAGAGTACTATTCTGTATCCGGAAATAACGGAAGCCAATAAACCACATATTAATACACCGAAAGTAGTTCCGGGTATCGGTGACGCTTGTTTACTTTTCTTTAACGGTGCATTCTGACGTCAGCATTGCACTACACACGGAATATTGTGTGTATATAAATATATATCACACAGTGCATTGCATGGGAAACATCCATTAATTCAAAAATTGTTGCACTCATTTCAACCGGTAGAACGTGTAGTGAAATGTTCGGTTTTTGTGTATTTCTTTTGACACTTTTTTCACAAGCAGACTACATGTTACAAACCATCACGTACCTGTTACTAGCTTATGCTGACCACAGAGCGGTCGATGGGGTAGTGTGCAATAGTGTCATTTTTTATGGATGTAAATGTTGATCCCGTGCATGCAATATCTCAATATTTCATCCCAGCAACAACAGATTATGTCTCGATACAACAAACCGTATTGTGTTCTATGCAATAGTTATGGATTTGGGAGGTTTAAACTCAAATGGAAATAAATGACATCTTTACAATATCAATTTAAAAGCGATATGTTGACGTGTATGTCCTGCGTTCCATGGTCGTTTTAGAATAAATATAACATTAACGGGTTCGACCGTACTCTCTTTATAACGGGGTCAATGTTATCATCAACAGGAAACGATGAAATATACAGCATATACCTGTGACTATACGCAAATAAATTCCGAATCATATTCACTGTCACTTTTGAAGATATTTCACGGCAACCTTAGGTCCCTAAATCACCTGTATCTAAGTACCATGTCCCATGTTTAGATATGTTGGCTTCATAAAGTGCTGACAGGTTTGCTAAATCAATTTTACTGCGTCTTTCCTCCAATGATATTTTCAAAATATTAAAAAAAAAAAAAATGATTGCTTCATTTTAATATTTTTACTTTAATCACGGAAAAAAAATTAACCAAACTAGATAAATACAAAGTAGTAAATTTGACAGCTGGATATTTGTTAATTCGCTATTCTACATTATTATTTGGGTTATTCCAATTCCTATGATAAAAACGACAAATCTTTACAATATCAACGGTTCAGTCTAAGGTCAAATGATAAGTTTACAGAAAATGCATTGATACATTAATATCTTAATTGTTTCCTGGTTCGCCATACTTGTATAAAGTAAGATCCGGGACCTATGTTTGTCCACGACATCTCTACGACGTATTTTGGTATTGTCTGTTGTTTGTGTGCGGGGGATATTCCTATGTCCCCTGCTAGCTCAAACGGTGGGATGGTTCCATGGTTGTGACAGACACAATTATTTGGTTGTTTTTTCCGGTTGTATAGTGTTCCGTATTTTTTGTGTTAGATGACCTTGGCCCACACTACAGTATAAATCTGGAGTGGTTTATTTTAAAGTTTGGTATGCGAATGTTAATTGTAGAATCTATACTATATAGGTGCGTAGTACTGGTGTACTATCGTTATAATATGAGCTGGAAAGGAGTGCTGCTTTATTGTTAAAATAAAAAAAATCCTACCTCTAAAGTATTGTAATGACCAGGCATATTCCTGATACAATTGAAATTCATACCTTAATAATCGCTTCTCGTGGAGCTAATAACAAGCCTTATTGTTCAAATATGTGAAAACAAACTTCTGGGGTGCATTTAAACAGACTATCATACACTTTATCTATAAACGTAGTACTATTATTTTTAGTGTAGGAAACAAAACGACAAAACCAAGTTTGAAATCCATCCCACTTAAATACATGAAAAAATGTGTGTAAAAGTGCACTGGATTAAGAATGGATGTATTTGGATTGGGAAATGCAATCTGAATTCCCCCTATTATCTATTTATAAAAAAAATGACTGTTAGAATTGTTATACAGTAGTCTATCCGTCACAAATTAGGACGTTGAAGTACATGCTTAGAATGCATATTTGACCATTTTATCAACACAATTAACCACCCCACTTGATGAATACAAGCTTAACTCTTCCAAAAATCAACATTTTCAGACGCAATTAGCCATTCCGGAAAATAAGTGTACCAGGTCGGTTTTATTGCTTACATCTCCATATTTCAATTATTCAGTGTTTATCTATATTCTTCACTCAGGAAGTAAACTTACTTAAGTCATCACATTTCCCTATTTCAGAGCCATCCTAACTCGTATTCTGTTACTCCCCTCCCCCTCCCAAAAACCAAACAACGTAAATTGTGGGTGGTACACAATATACGTTCAGTATGACAAGCTCACTCACCCAAACGTTTTGAATGAATGAACACAACAACCTATGTTTGTTTTTTTCCCAAGCCGCGACTTGCTTGCACCTTGTAAACCTCGCAAGGGAGGCTTCGATTGGACAAGGCAACCGCCTTCAATAATCAGATATGCGATCCGATTGCCTTACATCATAGAATACTATGAGTATCACATTTCGTTGCACAATCGACGAGAACAAAGGACCTAGTTCCAGCGTATAAGTATCTGTACATTAGCCTTTGTGAGGCAACGACACATGAACTTGGAAAATGCATAGACAATAGCTTCTACACTGGTATGAATGAATAGGTATGACACACACTACGCGAGGGAACACAGTCCTGAGTCTGTATACACCACTGTCAAACGCTTATTATATGCTACTATTTGACATGAAAAATATTTATTTCCCATAGCAGTGAAACTCTTATAATAGGTTTTTTGTAAGGAATAACGTAACAGCCTCGATTTTCATACCGAGTTTGGCCCTTTTTATTTCAATCTGTCACGCAATATCTTTTAACAGATGGCATTATTCTGTCATATGCACGTGCTGATCAAATTCCTACGTCGATAAAAAGGGCATTTAAGAAGTAAACAAAGTAAAGATATCTTAGACGGTTAGAGTAAACACACTTGGTAAACAACATGCGATTGGTCGACTTTTACACAACGCACGTACATCTACCAGGTGTAAACTTCCTGTTTTGTTTTTTTTACGTGGAGATATGATATGGATTTTAAACCGGGTAGATCGATAGGAAAGATGCAATTAAGACGAAAAAAATGTTTGTCTTCGAAAATATGAATCATTGAATCATAGAACAGTTTAAGATTCTGATTGCCTCCGGTAGATATAGTTGCAAATTAGCATAATATCTTGAGGTAGATATGCCACCTTATAGGTATGATATTTTCTAAACATACAATACTGTAATGTTTATGAAATATCACATTACACCATGCATATGTAGAAAGTTTAGGAGATATAGATGTTCTGATATGAGAATTATAACCAAGAAAATTAATCGAAAATTAACATCAATAAATTAATTAAGTAGATATTACTTTGTACAACGATAAGTTAAATAAGAGAAAAATATTCATTGTTTCAGGAAATATCTTAGAAGCACTATGAATATGTATAAATTGTCTCCTTTAAGCCTTCATCTTGAAAACTGCAATATACCACCACATCGGCTTGACAAATTGCATTTTTATTATATTTGACGTAAAGCAAATGTTGGAACCAGAATTCCCTGTAAATACATTGGGGTGTCTTTTGTTTTGACAGATTTTTCCACGTACTTCGGAAGCTAGTAAATTCAATCGATATCAGTAAGTTCGGCTGAACATATAGAATCTACGTGTATTTATACTGGAATGCTTGCTGGAAGTAATTTCTGAGTTAGATCGAGGATTGAGCATGAAAACAACCGATAGATTATATATATAGAAAACTTCATCAAGATTGCGATAAGTTCGTCGTTAAGGCATTCAGATAAAATCAGGTTTATTTTGTGATTCTCACTGTATCGTTAGGAATGGTACTTTTGAAATAGACGATTTTGTTGTGAATTGTAGTCATATTTTGTTTATTTGTAATATTTTTGTTTTCTTACAGGGCACAGCGGTGTTAACCAACTAGGAGGAGTGTTTGTGAACGGTCGACCTCTTCCAGATTCTACGCGACAACGGATAGTGGAGCTAGCCCATAGTGGTGCCAGGCCGTGTGACATTTCCAGAATTCTCCAAGTCTCAAATGGCTGTGTGAGCAAAATACTAGGTCGCTATTACGAAACAGGCTCGATACGACCTCGAGCAATAGGTGGTAGTAAGCCTAGAGTAGCTACCAATGACGTCGTGGGCAAAATAGCCCAGTACAAGAGGGAGTGTCCATCAATTTTCGCCTGGGAAATACGGGACCGGTTGCTATCGGACGGATGCTGTAACCAAGACAACATCCCTAGCGTAAGTATCCAACATATCATATCATGGGAGACAACCCCATAAACAAAGTTTCATCATTTTTATCTTTTTTGTTTTATTTGATATTTGTACACGGAAACATGTTTTCAAATACTTCGGGACAAAAGACCTGCTATTTTTTGCTTAAGGGTAAAAAATAGGATTTTTTTTATCTGAACTGAAAATATTTCCATTCCAATAAACTTTAACTATGTTTTCTAGATGAACATTGATAAGAACGAAGGAAAAATTGTAAATTGAAAATATATAATACTTAACCATTTTAGAAAAGAACCATGTCATGAAGACACTCGAATGCATATCTCTTTACAAGATATAATGATTTTCTAATTTAATAACTATTTATTGCAAATTCGTGACCAAAAGCTAAGGCCATAAATTTTTTGAAAGGAGTGAATTTTACTGCGAACCAAACTTTTTAAATCGAAGAAATCTGAAAGGTTATTCGTTTGAAATGTCATTGAACCTTTAATAATACAGAAAAATCTGTCACGGAAGATTTCATTTATATTTTAAGATTAAGATCAAAAGGTCTCCCTCCCCTTTCTTTCATATTATTGCTTTTATACTGAACAGCTATATTAGATATTTATTTCCCCGTCAATAACACTATATAGTTCGAAACTAACGGATTTATGTTGAAGGCCTGTTAGTCCTATTACGTTTTACACCTATAACATTTAACTTTAATAAAAATATTACATTCCTATGGCGTTTTCAATTAAAAAAAAGAAACCCTATTTAGAAAAAAATAAATTGATGAAAAGTCCTCATGAAAAAAGGAGCCACAATATTTTATATCTTTACATAAGAAAGTATTTTTTAAATAGACCACCGTAAATACATACAATATTTTTTTAGACGATGGGAAGGTTGAATATGATTGAAAATGTGGTGAATGTATTAAAATAGCTAGCAGGAATACAGCTTCATGTGTCATCTTTTCTATAGGATAGCATTGAGAATCCTATTTCTTCAGTAAATTACTCCTTCGTGAAAGGAGCACAGCAGGAAAGATGGAAACATTTTAAGAAGTCTGTTTTTCTCCCGTAGTGCGATCAGTCAGCTTTTATGCTATTTGTGGGAGAAGCAAACCAGCATATGGGGTTTGTTATAGTATTTAAACTATGATATCAAAAGACTGTTGACAATCGAGAACAAATGTTTCTTGTATGGAAAGGAAAGAGATATTATATTTACCGGATTTAGGGAGAAATTTGTCACCATTTACAAACCATCGCTTCATAAATAATAAATGATATTAAAAAACCGACATTAGTTCTACACATGTATGAGGACTTTAATGTGTAATAATTTATAATCAAACGAAATATAAATGGAAATGGTGGTTAGGTTTAATTTATCGAATTATTTTCATTTTCTTTGAAATCCAAATTGATTTTTAGACGGGAACATTATTTAGGTTACATCTCAGCATGATGATAGAAATATTGCTGTGGGTATTAAATATATATTTCTATCTCTCTCAACAATTTTAACGATGACGTATTTACATAAAATGAGTCATATTTTATTTTATTTTATTAGATATAATTTTTATTTTGAACTTCAAGAGAGAATTTAGTGCATTCAAAATTGTAAAACGATAACATTAAATATCCGTTGCTTGAGTATTATTGAGTATTATACAGTTCAAGCATTTTCAATAGTTGTATTTTTTAATACGTGGTAATGTGGATGGGATAAAAGATAAACAATTATTTTGAAATAAGAAAATATTTCATAGTTATGTAAGTTTCATTTGTTATATAATCTCAGATAACAAAAATCTCCGACAAGAGAGTCTTAATAAATGAAAAATACTAGACCAAGTCTTTGATGTAATAAAGAAAATGAATTGTACTTTTATCAATAGAAGACCTATCCGTACTTCTTGCATTACCTGTATAAATACTGCAAACACGATCGTCAATTTCTCACACACAAATTATCCAACGGTGTCAAGATCCCCCGTTTTCGTTGATGTTGAATTTAATATTCAAATCTGCGGTAATCCATATTTCAGAATGAAATCCACCGTGAAATTTGTTCCCTGTGGTTCATTCAGATTCAGGAGTGGGTTTTGATTCTAATGTAAATATGTTATATCTGACCAAAATCAACACAACTCAACTCATATCGCTCTGGCGACATTTGGATAGCTAATCAATTTATTAGCAATATCTGTTTAATCTTCCAAAACTAAATATCAAATAAAAAGTCGCAATTTCTTTGCATTCTATTATTTAGCGACTCCAACTTTTAGCTGGCTCGAGGCTTAACGGTATGGATTTCGGGTCAAAAAGTTGAAAATCTTGACTACCCACTTGAATATTTCAATACCTTCTTTTCCGTGTCAAAGTTAAGCAGCCCCTAGATGACTTCTGAATTGAAGTGTCCAGTTTTCAAATCTTTCAACTGACCATATGCCCAAGTGCTCTTCCGTATTTGCTTGGTTGTGCACAACAAGCAGGGGAATGGTCTCTTAAGGAAGAGGCAGATAATAGGAACACCATATAATTAGAGTGTAAATATTTTGTGTAAATATTCCTCTTGGAGATGTAACAAAGGCATCTCGCGAGCTCCATGGAGAAACACATGAACCAGCGACATAGAAACAAGCAGTCTGTAGTTTACACAGGGTATCATTTTTGAAGGACTTGAAGAACTTGTGCAAACATGTTCAGTATGCTTACACGTGGGGTGTTTGTACAAGTAAATGATCAGCTTTAGGGAAGAGAACTAAAAACACATTGAAGACTCAATAACGAAAAAAAAAATTTCCAGAACGATGGCACGACCTGTTGTACTGAAACACATACCGAACCATTAGATATATCAATAAGAAATAGTTTTGGCATGATACAACTTATTCGAGGTAAAAAATCTAGTTTTGTACAAGCCTTTCTGCTGTTTTTCTATGCACTATGACATCGATTCACCTAAGTTTTTGAAGTCTAACTAAATACGCGTAGAAGAGAGATGCTTTGTTTCCGATAGGTTCAGGCTACCATAGACGGGCCCAAACCCAGTAAGAACAGATTCATGTGACATTTTCCTTTGAGAGCAGAACATTTTTCACAAAATTAGAAGTAGCCACATGTTTTCTCGAACAATTTATGAAAGAACTGTAAAAGCTCTTGTCATTTTCACCAGTATTTAAAGCATTAATTAATTTTGACACATCTGCGCCCAGGCTCAACAAAAATCTAATCGTGTTTGCATGGATGCACAAATTCAAGTTCTGATCATTCATATCATCTTATTTGCATTTTCTCCTCCTTTGTAATAGGCTAGCTGTTCACGGGAACAGAAGCTTAAAGCTGCTCTGAAGATGTTCTTCTTTGCTATCCTGCAAAAAATGTTTTCTCGCCCACCACATTCGTGAAATCTGTTTATTCCTTGATTCGACTAATGCATATTTCGACATAATAAAGGCTGAGACATACGGCATTTATGTATTTTGAATTATATGTAGGTCTACTCGCAACAATTGTATAATTACTGGTGTTAGTCAAATTTAGAAAGTCAAAGTGAAACACTTCAGTTTTAAAATCTAGACAAGGAATATGCTTTATTATGTATTATAAAAAATGTATGTATTTACAAATTTGTCAATGCATGTGTATATTTATATTTTAAACGAGTGAAATTCACGTCTGACTTAGTACTGTTAAAAGTAACAATGTTTTTTATTTATAAAGCATCAGGTTTAGTAGTTTGCAAAACAAAAAGACATGAAATTGATTAATTAATAAGTTTAGTCATTATTATGCAAGGCTGCATCTAATGCTGATTTTGTGTTAAACGGAGGTCATTCACTTTTGTACAAACTTGCTATTACACAATTATCATTCGTAACGTCTAGCTATGACTTGGACGATTTTTTATACGTTTTCCTAATTAACAGGCAATGTTTTTTTAATGTCACATAAACGCAGTAACATAGTTACTAAATAAAAGAAGATTTTTAAGTTTTGAAAAAGACTCATTCCCAATTTATACACCAAAACTTGGGCACTGACAATGGCTTTGCTATGTGATGAAGCACGATAATAACATACTTGATAAAGTATTTAGTCAATGTTTAAGCTGACTTAGATAACACTACGAATGCCAGATTCTGTTTCCATTACTCCTCTCTAGTGACGTCGTTAATATCACTTTTGTATAATTGTTACCGTTATGTCTTGTAGCTATGTTTGTCATGTTGTCTCAAAAATCAATTGGAGCAGAATTGTATGAAACCTATACAAGTGAGCTGAATCAAACGTGAAAACGGCCACTCACTTAAGCGCGTCAGTTCCAATAATCCTCCGTAGTGTACCTTCCCTTAGTCACAAGTATTCCTTCGTCAATGCCATTTGTCCACTAGATCTCGGCAAATGAAGCAAAAAGCAATCTCTCTCCGCCATCACTTTTGACAAACAGATATATCACCAGGTTGATACATGATTAAATATATTGTACTCGCCAATTGCGGAATTGAACAACAAGTAGTAGACCCTTCTGGTCAAGAATGGATGTATTCTGAACACAACTCAGAAGTCTGGAACCAAAAAGATGTATCCGTCACTTTTGATATCCCTCTAGGGTAGCGTGTTCAATAACAAATAAAAAGCTCGCATGCATTTGTACCAATGACGGTTGTCAATACCTTGCTAGACTGTTTTGTTCCTGAGATATTTCCCTCTTCAGCTCATTTCTCAGATTCCATTCTCTCAGTAGTTATCTCTTTAACTTCCTTGATGCTCGCTGTTACTAAAAAAGCGTCGAAAAATGACAGCAACATAATAACAAATGAAATTTTGAATTCAGACAGACGGACCTATATAAGTTCCGATTGTTCTGTGGAAATCTGAGAAGAGTGCATTCCACTAGCCTCCACACTTTCATAGATGGGGTTAGGGACAGCTTTTTACATGTTTTTTCTGTTGACAGAGAAATCCAGGTGTTCTCTTATCGAGCCACTTCTTTCTTGAAACGAAGATGATTTCGCTGTATAATCTCCTGTATTTGTAATGTTGCCTTTGAACACAATGACATTATCTTTTCAGCAGATGTACAGGTGAAAATGACAATATCGAAGATGTGCTATAAAATTTTCCGCAAATATAAAACACCCACCTTACATAGAGGCTATAACAGGAAAAACAAGTATGTCTGTGTAACACATATTCTTAGTTCCAGGACTTTGTTGCATAAATGTCCCAGCCTATTAAATCTCGCGGAAGACTAGAGCTGTAACGTAATAATGATAGGGGTTGGGGTTATGAATTGTCCGTGTTTTGTGACCGCAGTCTTTGTACCCTACTACCTAAACATTCTATGGGGTCAACGAAATATGGGAGCGTTCAGAACGCCACATGGCTTACATATTATGTTTCTAAACAAGATCAGTTTTTCGTTTCAATATCAGAAAAGACAAAAAGATTTTAGGGGTCAATATGTCAGAAGAAATTAACTTTCCGATATAATAGAAAAGTAGATGTATGAAATCCCGTTTAAATCTAATGAACTATTTGGATTTTATTAATTCTTTTATTTGTTATATCGGATACAAATGAAATTAAATGTTTATTCATTTATGAATGAATGCGACCTAGATTAATGTATATTGTATGCATCCTTTGATTATTGGTTTACTTCAACCGACAGAGCTGTTATGGTAGAGATTCTCATATCTCTTTCTGTTGTGCCATCAGCAACGAAGGCTGTTATTGGCTAAGTCTTTTTCCAGCTTAAGATGTTAGTTTTCGATTTTCTTAAGAAAAGTTTGATCAATTATAAATATACCATATCTTCATATTATTTTATTTTGACAATTTTAACTGTAAAGCTTGGAGTGTGTCAATTGCAGTTATTGGTCATGCCCATGATGCTTTTAAAATTATTTGAATGAAATGCTAATGGATTCGTTCTATTGAAAGGATGTTGACCAATATTTTGTCTTTTGTTTCAATGAAATGGGAAACGTAAATTTGACAGGAAAATGAGCTCTCTATGGCAAATTTTAAATAGAACTATGGCTGGACCCTTACCTTAAAGGAAAATGAAACGGTTGTGTGATGGGCATATGGCATTAACAATTCATTTCATAGGAAATGAGAGATACGCTTGTCTATTTGTTTCATTTTGAGCTAAGAACAAAGCATGAAAGGTAATAGGCTTATTATTTCATGCAATCAGACACAAAGTGTCCATTAAACAAATCTAAAAATAGGATTTAAATAAAACATTTCTGGTTTTGACTTTTATCCAAAATCACAATGGAAGAAACATGCAAAATTAACAAACATCCGTTTTGGACTTCAAAGTCATGACATGCACTTAAAACATATCTCTTTCCTGGACACACTATATCAACTATAGAAATTTATCTAATGCAACGCGAAAGTTCAAACGATAAGCCTACATTTTTATCCCTAGGACCTCACCATCTGACGTTTTAGTGTAACATTATCGAATATTTATGGTCAATACTGCTAACACAGCCATATTTTCTTTTGTCAGGCTTCATAAAAATGTATTCTTTATCATGTGGTAGTTTAGAAAGTTGTAAAATGTTTCTAATCAATGGCCATTGATGGCTGTCTTAGTAGGTCCTGATGAAGAGTTCCTACATAAATAGCCGGATAATTCGTCCATTGATGTTTGCTTCCGAATTTGTCATGAATTCATTCACATTCCGATTTGTGGATAGTTATAAGAAATACGATACTTTTCTACTCAATCGTTGCGGCATTACCTTGAAATGCATATGTGTACAATTGTATTGTACAGATGGAGAAACACGTAATATCGATCTGTTATATCTAGCCTTGTGCATTAGCTCAGACAGTCCGGCTGCCTGAATTTCTGCCAGTATACAAAAACAGATTGTGTCAACTTTGAATAAAATTATAAAATTTTAAGTTAAAAAGTAATTTAGATACAGTTTAACTTTTATTTTTATTGAAAATTGTTAAAAGTGCTACATTCTGTTTATTAACAGGTAATTCTTGTAGGTGAAATTCTACATTGTTGCTTAAACGATTCTCCAATATATGTACTACATTTAATGCATTTTCATAGGGGCAAGATCGATGTACAATCGATAGCAAGGTGAAATGAGTATTTTATCAACACAAACAGTTGATGATTGACTCACATATTGTACTATGATACTAAACATACGAATATCCTATTTTACGATAACAAACATTTGATATCAGTAGAGAAAGCTATTTGAATGAAGCAATTAATTCTACTCTGAGCTAAAAAGTAGAATATAAAGGCTTCTCGTCAAAAACACAAGACAAATCCCCAAAGGAATGGACATTCTAAAGAAATGTACCAGTGCAATGGTCAGCAGCAGAAATTAATCTCAGGACATATTGTTTTGGACGGAAGAGAAGTTAGGAATTAATCAGCTGCTCATGTCACAGAGAATGTGGCCACTTGTAGAAGTCGGAAATAAAATATTCAATCCATGAAGATTGATTAAATATGCAAGACATCAATGAAAATGCAGATTTAAAAATATGTTCGTAAAGTGGTTTAATTTATAATTCCACGAGAAATGTGTATTATTTCATATAACTGGTTTCTAATCATAGTTTGTAAATACATTTATATATATGTATATGTTCATGGAATATAATAGAAATTAAAAACAATTGATAATACTATGTAATCAAATACGAATTATTCAAATAATTATTTCCCCTCTCGATGTCTGAATTAAATCGAATCGAACTTCTCCTCTGCTGATGGTATGGAGAAAGTAACATTTACGGATGCGTATAATACAGCTAATTACAGTAAATACAGTATTGTTTGTAGTTTTTATTTTGTTATTTTAAAAGGTAAATGTTTATTGTTTATGCTACATGCTTGTTAATAGTTACAAGTTATATTGAGGCAGTCATCTGAAATGATGCTTATATGAATATATGCTTAGATTACTATTATTAAATTATTTAATCACCTTTCCGTATGAGATATAACAAATATGCCTATATAAGGAATTCAACGATATTAATACATTTTACCGATATCCAAATATATTACAATCTTCGCCTAGTCCGACTAAAGTACCTATCTTTCTCTTTCCACCCAATCTAATATGATATTTTATTTATCATTTCAACAGGTGTCATCTATCAATCGAGTACTTCGGAACTTATGTAGTGATAACCAAAAGGTAATGGGACAGGGTGCAATGTACGATAAACTGGGCCTATTAAACGGACAGTCATGGCCACGGCCTAATCCTTGGTATACGTCAAACATGTCCATGGCTGGCATTGGAGCGCCGGCGCCTTATCCAACCCATCAAAGTTCGACTCCACTCTGCATAGATAAGAAAAGTAAGTATAACGTTCATACTGTCACCTGCAGCACACTAAATTCACACCCGGAATATAAAGAAGTTTAACATGGGCTATTTAAATGGTTTACAAAATATATTTCACTCTGGCACCTGCATGCACACTAAATTCACACCCTGAGTATATAGAAGATTTATGGAATATTGAATTAGTTTTACATATTTCAAATATATGAATTTATTAAAATGCGTCATCAAAACAGTTTTATAAATCAATATGTTTTAAATGGCTGTAAATATAACATACTGTTGAAATCATATTATTAGTTGCATATTTGCAATTCATAAAAGTTTTATCAAACATCAATTTGAAACAAAAATAAGGAGATATCTAAAGCGCAATGTAAAATATGCATGGAAATTAAATATTTAAATGAAATATCGTTGCAATTCAAACTTGTTTAAATAGATTATATATCCCATATTGCTACAAAAACTTTCAATATTTTATGTGTATAAATGATAGCCATATTGGTATGACGGTGTTGAATAAACATAATGTATTATGTTCGCGTTATCACGCTACAAAAAGCAGTGTTTGTTAGGCGATTTGACATTCGGAAATTTGCAGTTGAATTCCCCAATGACTGCAACACTACCACTACCAAAACACACCAATAACATGTAATGTATCCAGGATAACTTACCTTGTTTTCGTCGATTTCAAACGAAATACATCATTTTACAACTTCTGTGGTTTATCTTTCTAATTTTGTTTGATTAATTTTAAGTTAGTTGAAGTTAATGCCTGATCAATCAAGACTACAAAACCGATATTAACAATAAATATAAATTGTTATTGAACAAGCACTATGTTTTAAATTATACAATATGTTATATGAAATAGTCACTCAAAATATAAAGAGCAAGTAAAGCTCTTAAAACAGAAAGCCAATTATCGAAAATTAACTCACTTAATTTAAGTTATGCAATACGCAATGATATATGAATGTGACTAAGTACTGTAAAATACCATACCATTACCAATTTTAAAAAGACTTAAATCAGTTCTGAGTCAGAAAACTACTCACTTTGATGAACTTGTGTAAAAAATTTAGTCACTTCACCTAACTTAATATTACTTGAATGTCCTGTTACCTTCATCCAAAATAAGATCTAAATTAGTTGACCCTTCACTCAAGTCACGGCACAGGAAATTGTAAATATAGGTGATGACATACCGATATGGCATAAGATACTCCAAAGATATACACACTAGTCTCTAAAATTGACTTGTGGTTAGCATTATCATGGATCCATGCTAAAAACTCTAAAGGTTTACTCTATATTGGCGTTCAACTTCCGGTGGTAGCAATAGCCTCCGACTGCTCCTTCATTCATTTCAAGATATTGTCATTATTTTTCTCCATGCATGTGAAATGGCGCGTGTTTTGCATAGACGCAATGAAGGGAACATAGCCACGTCGAATAGTTAACCCCTCTACCTTTCTTGCTTGCTTTTAACACAAACTATGTAATTATGAAGTCATATTCTAAGTGAATTCACTTGGGTAATTTAAGCGTAAAGCTTCAACAAGCTAATCGTAGTAGATTATGTATAAGAGAAATTTAAAAAGTTATCTGTTTTTCCTAGATTGAATCCATGTTTTACCTGTCAAAGGCAACTTCCGGCTTTGTTGGTTTTGTCTCATTCTTTTTCTTCTATATCAGTTCTTTATCAATATTGTGAAACTTGTGTAATGAACAACTGCTGACAAACCACCAACAAAGTTGTAATCAAATATTACATTCTCCCAGCTGTTTGCTTTAAGTGTCGACGGAGTCTACAAAAACCTACAAATTATAATTTGAAATAATTAAAATGTGATTTTTTAATACGAATTCATACAAAGAAAAACAAAACACAACGTATATCTCATTGCAGTTGAAAATTACTATTGTTATTTCTATGACAGATACATAATGTGATGAATTGGAACACCTCTGTTTAAAACTGACAACTCGATAATGATCTTTATCAAAAAGGACGAATTCGTCGTCTCAGGAATGCTAATAACAACAATCAAATGAAGGCACTGATAAAAATAGGCATGATTATCTTACAAAGGTTGAATTTTTATATAAGGTCGATTGAAAGCTTAGGTTTTTTTAATTTAGTAAATATTAATGCTATTATTCCTGGTGTTTTTAAGGATCTTATTAAAGCTGATAAAGTCACATTGTGACATGTTATCATAACACATGGAAAATGCTTGGATATCAAGCATCATATAGGATCTTTCATGTTATTGTAACAATAAAAAGTATTTTCAGAAAATTGCAGCATTTCTAAACAATTAGAATGACGTTATGGCCCATTGCGGCGTTGTGTCAAAAGGAGTTTTGTTTCATTTCATTGCATTCTTGTCATATAACACCACACAAACACGTAATTGTCTTCATAAAGCGGTGTCTTCAATCCGCGAGCATATGGTAAATTATAAAACCTAAATATAGCCAATAGCATTTATATTTCATTCAATACCATTAAAGCACGCGAGATGTTTTACGCTATGGACCCAGTTCCTTCTTGTTTGGGTGCTAGAGTTTACACAAACACTCGGCATGAGTGTAAATGTTGGTTATGTAAAATTGACAGAATCATATCCACAATGTCCATAATTCACTCAGAATGGGAGATGAAATGTCTTCTTTGATTTTTCATATTCTCTGGTCTACTCATTTTTCATTTGTTAGAAATATTCAGTGAAGCGTATAGATTAATATAACCGACTTAAAGTGCGTGTAGTGTGCCTGTGTGTTGCATGGATAGTATGATTAGGAGCTGATCCCAAGGTGCTGGGCATCGATGTATGGCTTCAGAGCGTGGTCCCCAATCTAAGTCGACTGAGGCAATTGCAAAATAGAAAGTACTACAGTCCCACCTCTAACCGGTTAGAGGATGAATATTTCATAAATTTCCTTTTTAATAACCAAAGTTGGTAAAATAATGTGAAGTAGAGCGACATTGGAGTGTCTCGGAGGCTCGGAAAATTAAATTAGCGCTAGAACGGTCCCTTCTGTAACACACCAGATCATTAGGCGATTTTCCGATTCGATGCCGACAAAAGCAGAAAACCAGTCGTTCTGCTCTGTAAGCCGTTAAAATAGGGTTTCGATGATACAATCAAATACAGCCTCCGGCTTCTTTCCTAATAGGGTACACGCATAGCAGGTATTTCATTTCATAATTACAAATTTTCATCGCAAGCTCCGATTGAGTAAGACAGACATTCTCATAAACGCCTGGTAAAAATGATAAGCCGACCAATAAGGAATTTTTCCTGCAGTGGAATACAAACAGATCAAAACAGCCGAGGAACACGATGAGTTGTGCTAGACCGGTCTCCAGTAGAGAGAGTGATTGTAGCCTACAGAACGAAATACCGCTACATGTGGTTATGACCCCTCACTTTTACTCCTGTTACCTTTTCGTTTTAAAAATTAGCCTTACCATTTGCTACTGGATGAATACTTGTCTGTAGTGAGAAAGAGATCAAATGCATACCTAGAACTCTATCACAGCAGTCTAGAAAATGACTGCATTCACAGTCATTGCTGCATGTGGTGATTTTCCCATCATAATTGAAGATGAAAGTTATGTTTTGATATAAGGTCTTATTTTTCTGTAACAGATACTACAATATTTCACGAAGCGGAGAAGATATTCTACTTTTTAATTTTATTAATCACATAAGCAGCATTCTTTTGATTATTTCTACTTGAAATAATTTGTTTAACTCTTCGAGTAATTTTGAAAATTTAGAGATATTTTGTAATCTACAATTCGCTCAATTTGTTTTGAATGTACAATACTGAAGGAGAGAAGCATGCTTGATGGAGAGGTATGACATTGATGGCAAACCTCTCCAATACCTTCAGTAATATGTAAAACGTCAGAAACACCGGAAGCACAATAACAATAAGGAAATAATAACAAAGTGTCGACCCATACCAAGACTTGTACGACTCCATTAAATAAGGTATTAGACTGAATTGTAGTAGCCATTCAAGACTTGGACAATCGGATATTTTCACAATGCTTAGGATGACTTTTGGACGAGAGTGAAACACTTGTGTATATTGTCCGTAGTCGTCGAACTGTCTGCAGCACCATTGAAAGCTCCAGACTAATCCCTTCTCATATAAATATGGATTCCGAACGAAAGATTTAAAACACCACTATTTAAAGAGCTCTCCGTACATTCTTTGGGGATCGTATTATGCTCTGGCCAAGTATCCTTTTTATTATTTCCCATAAATACATTTAACACCGTTCACTGAATAATCGGTTCCCTGTAAATAACGTTAAACATTAAGAATCCACTACGAGGTTGTGCAACGCATAGCTAGCAAGATTGTTTTATCTAAGGGAAATCCCTCTTAAGAGGTTTATGATGATCAATTCGAGGAGAATTTGTAAGAACAAAATTGTCTCGTAGAAATCTCAGAGCACAATATTGACTTTACGGCTAAAATACTATTTCCAACAATCGGCTGGTGGCGCCAAGCTTTCTAATCTATGAAAAAATTATTATCCAATTTTTAAATGCTTTAACACCTTTAGTTTTGAAAACTTGTACTAAAGTAGAGGATACACTTGTAAGGTCGGTAGGGCATTCATTTTGAACGGCAAGCAATCGTTGATCGGATTAAACGCCAAACAAAATCCTTCCATAGTCAGTTGTGGTTTTCATTACAAAAATCAGAAGAACGTTTTCATATACATTGTCAATTACCCCATAGAGATTCCAAACAACAAAAACAAGCATGATTATGCAAGATCTGCCTGGCAGCTATCGTACGTGTATTTCAACGTGTAAGAATGTTAATTACATCTCTGTACGACCTTGGTGTAACTGTGGGTGTTATTTTTATACCTTTACTGGTGTATGTTCCTACCGGATTGAGGTGCTTATGACACGTCTACCTGGCTTATCCAATTGAAGATGCGTAAAAAATTTACGCTTGATTGCTTTGCCCATTCTAGCGGGTACCTATGTATGAATGAATCGATACTCAATGGCAGCGTATATACACACTCATATATATAAATATCTAGGTCACGTGACTACTCTAGTGGACGTAAATAGCTACGCGTGTAGTAAATCGGATGTACGACTGTTTTCGTTGGTATAAGATAAAGAGTTTTAACGATCGGGACATATGCAACTACAACAGATGTCTATATCAGTAACAAATAGGTGTTTTTGTTCGTTATTTTCTCTGTCCCAGAAAATAACAAAATTAACATTTATTTCTGTCATCAATGAAATACGGTGGATGTATTTTAAAGGCAATATCACAACAAAGAATAATTAAAATTGAAGATGATAATTGAAACAAGAAACACTTGCATACCAAAGTATTCTCATAACAACCACTTTGAAACGAAAATGTTCAAAATCCTTATCACAAATGTATTTTGTACAGAAAAACTGCAATAGGTGTGTATGCAACATTAAGATCAGCCTACACGATAGATTACTATCTAGTCATCTCTGTTAGTGATACCAAGATATATTACAAGTTCGGCTACTAAATCATTACATTTTCGTGGAAATTATAGCCTATTGATTTTCATTAATTTAACAGTAATTAGATTCTTATTTTCAATTTTTGTGTTTTGTGACCTTTCTGGAGCAAGTGCTTGATATTCAGATTTTACCATTCTGTTGTATGGAACCAGTTTTTGATACTCAAATTTACCTTCCTGTCGTATGGAGCCAGTGCTTGATACTAAGATTTTACCTTTCTGTCGTAGGGAGCCAGTGTTAGTACTGACTGCAAAACGTTACTTGAGGCAAAACTATTTGTCATATTTTCTTTGTGAAACTCTTTTGAGAAGGAGGTTTGTTTGAATTAATTAGTAATCTTTATCATCTGAAACTTTCATTCGTTATAAAGGTGTCAACTCTTCAATTAATAATATCACTTTATCATTTCATCCCGCGGTCACGGTAATGGATGTCATCGATTTAATTCTTAAATGTATCTCGAGATAATTATCATGCGCTTGACCAGTGGTCATCTCCTCACACCCTACCATCTCATATCGGGGACTCCATCATGAGCGTCACATCCCCTGGTAGAGCTATGTAAACACATTGTATGACATATGTTTTGTCAGACAATTTTTTGTCCTCGGGAGCTACCTAAATTTAAAGCCGGACAAAAGTCCGACTGAATCCTATCAGATATAAACATGATGACCACGATGTCTCGCTCTGGCGAGTCCTGACCGCTGATACCAGTTGATAATTTGTTTCAAACTCGCGCCTCGAGGCTAACATCGGACTCCAGTGACATTGATAGGATTCCTATAGGAGCTGAGATATCCTTACCTGATGGCTTCGTGCTATCAGATAAACATGCAAGCGATGATCTTTAGAAATAAAACTACACAATAAAGAGATAATACAGTTTAATTAGGATTGGATATTGGTCAAGATTTAGTATTAAAAGATTTCTGTGATAAAATGACAATCAAAGTGGTATTTGATTATTTCAAAAATTATTTCAATCGATTTGTTTTAATTAAAAAATATATGTATTTTGGATTTGTAACATCTCACATTTCAGACAATACCACGAAAACAATTTTACTTGGACTTGAACCGTTGTTTTTATCTTGAGTCCTATTGATGGTATCGCTTTAGTATATTTTCTTGTTGACATCAATAAGTATAGAAAATAAAATATTGAATAAATATATCAATATTTGTAAGAAGAAAAATACAAACGCATGCATATCTCCTCTTCTTGGACACTAATCAAGCAATTAAAGTGAAATGAGAGACACATTCAATCTACATCCATATTCAATCAATGTATTATTTCAAATTATCAAAAAAAATGTTATAGAATCGGGAATGGCTATATGTATACTCTGTAAGATTTTAGAAGTGAAAACATATAATTTTAAAATATACGACGAACCTTAGATATTTAAAACCAAACATCACATAAGTCGATAGTTATTAGTTTGATGTATCATCCAAATTATTTTATTTTTATATTCGTCGACAACTCAACTGACATAGATACATTGCATTGATGTATGTGATATATCAATATAGAAAATATAGGGAAAATCTTAAATATAACAATATTAGTAATAATCAAATAAAGCCATTTCATTAACGAGTGACGTATTATTTAGAAAATTTTTAAAAAGACAAACACGTGAGTAACACCTTTCAATACAAATTTATAATTGTACCCAGCACAGCTTAACAATGAATAACACTTGATGTCGTTCCAGGACAAACAAATAATAAACGAATCGAACAAAAAAAGGTGAGATAAAAAAAACAGATAAACAAACTGGAGTATATTCCGCATTAATTCCTATTGATACAAAAAAATAAGGACAACTGGAAGGATACAAGCAAATATTCATATTCATGTTCATTTTGGTCATATAGTATATATAATATAATCTTATCCCTTCATAACCTCGAAGTCAATGGACCATGTTATTACCTTGTACCCAACGGTCTTAGAGCAATGATCACGGTTGTTAAGTCTCGGACGCACTGGACACGCCCATCTACCCTTTCATTATGGATCTATCCCCCGTAATTTTGCGTCGGGGTTTTTAGAGTGCGAATAAATTTCATTTTGTCTTTAAATTACCCTTAACTACATGGAGTTGTGGTCAGCGTTAAGTTTGTATAGCAATATTGCCAGTATCGTTGTAAAAGTTTTGTTTATGGAAAAATAGGTATTAAGAACAAGCAATGGACATGTCTAGGCATATTCTGGCATAGAAGAAAAACACAAAAAATAAATTGATGTAATTATTAGGGAATTTGGACAGAGAAGAAAGCGCTTGATTTTCAATACTTCGTTCTTTTCTGCCTTCAACTTGAACTCTAAATTGACTAACCTTAATTTCTATCACTAATTCTTGTATAAACTTGGTTAATTAGCAGGAGCCACTGTTCCCTGTTGACATACTGCTGTTGATGTGTATTGCCCTTCCCAGCTATTTACACAAAGTTAGTCTTGTGGTCTTAAGTACCAATATAATGGCGAATGAGGCTCTCCTTGGCATTAACATTTTACCAAATATTGTCATTGAATTGAATAAATGCAGACAAAACTAAATGATGTTTTGATGTAAATAAACCTCTATGCTAATCAGAGAATTAACTAACTAGGAACAATTTCTGTCTCTGCATATTTTTTTTTCAATTTTTGAAATATATCTTCATCATTGGAGGCATTGAAAAAAATTCTATATTTTTTCATTGATTGTTTAAACACTGTGTAGATGCATCAGTTAAACTACGTTTAATATAGCGATAGCCCTGAAAAGTCACTTTATGTAAGGTACCAACCCCATGAAGTCAGTAATGCTGCATATTCCTCGCGCCATTGTATAAGCATGAAAGCTTTAGAAATCTCCAGCATGCACAAATAAATAAGTATTCATCCGCTAACGACGGCACAGACGGTTACTATAAAAGTTCATTGCAGCACTCGGCTTTGATGTTAAGTGAAAAGTACTGTCAGAACACACACAAAAGGTGAAATGATCACTGGGCTTAACTGCGAATGTCGCTCCCGTGTCATTATTTACAAATTAAAACTAGATTAAATGCTGTTCAGGTATAACGGTCTTAAATTGACATATTTAAAAACATAGGATTTCACTTATAATTAATATTGATTATCTATACCGCTGAAACATGAATGTAAGACCGAACAGCTCGAGGATGTAGATACCACTTAGGTCTTGTTCTTCAATCTTTGATCCGTTCGATAAAGCGCTAAACAGATTATGTCATCGTACAAAATATCAGTAATTATTAAAATATCAATGTCTCACAAAATATTTTGTTTAGAAAAACTGACGGCCCAATTCAAGAAATGCATCAAAGTATACATACAGTAACCATATTGCTGTATTTATACAACATCGAACTCTTTCGATTGAAATTTCTGTAAGAAAACAAACGTTTAAAAATATATGATGCTTTAAAGGAAAATCTTTAATGAAGATTAAATTAGTTAAATGCAGTGGAAACACGTGCTCGATCTTTAATTGTAATGCAAAATGCTTGTAAGCTTATGATGAAATTAGTGATTATCAATTAAATATGTATCGAATTCTTTTTTAGGTAATGATAGTTCCGCATCAGAAACTAACAGTGAGGGCCAGAATGGACACACGGACGAGCAGGTCCGCTTACGTCTCAAACGCAAATTACAAAGGAATAGAACCTCCTTTACTGCCGCCCAGATCGAATCGTTAGAAAAAGGTAAGAGAAATGTGATGGAATTAACTGCTTTGATTATTAGTTTTTTGTGTTTATTGGTTTTACTTAATTCTCAATTTTATCTTATTTCTTTATTTTTGATTATTTTGATATAGGTCTATAGGTATTCAAGATATTTTTTCTAAGCTTCTTGAACTCTGCGAGGATCACATGTCTAATGAAGTTAAATTTTAACAAAATTGGTATAAATGCATCAAATTAAAAACACGATTTTATTATTAGAATCTGTTAAAATAAATTAGAGCAATAAAGTGTTTATGGGTGAAGTTTGTGTTTCACTGTAAAACATTATCAAAACTTTGATATGTGAAAAATATATGTACTGAAACAATAACGAATGGAGACTATCAGACGTGATCCTTCGATATTTTATATATAAAGACAACGAACAATTTTTCATACTCAATAGATTAAACAAATACTCATATATATTATTTCAAACTGGTCATATTATTCCACACATGAACCATTAAGAAAAAATCTTGCTCAACCAAATGTTTGTTTTCTAAGCATGTCCAAACTCAATGAATAATTATTTCATTTCAATTTGAAAATAATTACGATAGAAATATAAAAACTGTTTAATTAAGTGAGAAATGACAACACGATAGATTTATTTGCATAAAGATATATTTTTCAATAGGGTAAAACTCTTATAAACCGAGACCATGCTATGTATTGGATTATGATTTCTCGAAAAAACTCTTCTATATTCAATACCAGTATCGTCCATACCTTGGGAATTGATTTTCAGCTCCATCTATTCATCCTATTAATTTTGCTGCTTAATAACAAGAAGTATTTATTTTGTCAGGTGAAACTATTGCACAATGAATTAATATAATGGAATTATTGAAGGTGATATTTTTCAATTGGAATTATTTTTTCATTTCATTAAAACCAATGAAATACGAATCCCCTGATACATATTGTGTTCCCGTTTACCAGCAATCCATCAAGCGATGATAACAAAAGTCAATCATCTTCTTTTCCTTAGTTACGCCGCTCTGACAAATATAGTGTTATTCAAGATAAAAACATCGTCATTCAATACCATTATCCGGTTTTAATATTGTTCAAATTAACCTGAAAATTTAATCCAACGATCCGTCGAGAGGATAAATGATTGACGATCACAGAATTGTATATTTTGTCGTATAAATTAATATGTTTACAATTTACTCATTATAAACTCGACGTAAATGTAATACAAAAATTTATGTTGTCGTACGAAAAAAAAAAATAAAAAACTTTAAAATGTAAACGGTATTGTGATTGTATACTTATATCACTTTAAATTTTTTTTCCGCTATTTTGCAGAATTTGAACGGACGCATTATCCAGATGTGTTTGCACGAGAACGATTAGCTCAAAAAATTGATCTCCCTGAAGCCAGAATACAGGTATGCCAAGTTCCATCAAAAGAAACACTGACGAATTTAATTGAGCAAAAAGATACACAATTGTGTAAAATATAAAATACTGCAGAGTTATATTTTGAAAATTTGAAACTATCACATATATATAAATCATTGATTTATAAGCAGGATTATTAACTAATACTTTAAAATGTAGATGTATTTTTTTTTTTTTTTTTTGTTATGAAACATAATTACAATCATTCTAACAAATTATGATATACATGCTTCTAAATGTTTGCCCAGGGAATAAATATTTTGGAATCAAAATTTAATCATAATCCTTGCAGGTATGGTTTTCAAATAGAAGAGCAAAATGGCGGAGGGAAGAAAAACTACGAAATCAGAGAAGAGAAGTTCCGAATGGATCTACGAGACTACCTATAAACAGCAGCTTTCCGAACGGAATGTATCCATCCATTCACCAACAAATCGGCACCATTGCAGAACCATACAGGTATATCATTGGTTTGATATCACCCTCTACATATGGTCAAACATCATACGTCTTAAACTCTACTTAAATATTTCAATAAGATTTGAACATAAGACAGTTTCTGCCATGGAGCGAAAATAAAACGATAAGATGTTTATTAGTACACGAAACGTTTTTTAAGCGTTTGTAGATAATTTTTAAAAAATCATTAAAGAAATGCTGTGATCATTTGATGATTTTGATTGTCAATCAAGAATGCAGCGTCTTGATAATTAACCCATCTTTGCTTGTTTACTTGTATACTGAGTAATGTTATTTGTATTCTCTTTTGTACCATAATATATTCAAATCCATTTTCACCCCTGAAATTATTATTATTATCTATTTTTAAAAATCTAGAAATATCGCATATCGTATATAATTATATATTACAGTACGATGCCCACCGTTCCAACTTACTCGCTGGCAAACAATCTCCCGACCAACCCTGCCTGTCTTCAATCTACAAACACCTCTTCATACTCCTGTATGTTACCAGGTGAGTCATTCTCATAAATCTCCTCATCATAACACATTATTATGATGCCTGCTAGCACATATGACACATATCTATGTTGTCGCCCAGACATTGTAGAGAAATAATCTAAGAGAAGTCTTTAATCTGGCGTTCTGGTGCAGCTATTTGCAAACTCTTTTACAACCTTGATATTGAATGTTTTGCCTCGAAAACACATTTACTATGACAATCCACCTCCCACAGGTAATACCGCTAACGCTGCAAGGCTATTTTATATGAACATACATCAATATCTGATGGTAACACTTAGTATGAGAATAAAAGAAAGGAAAAAAAAAAGAAAAATGCCAACATGCCATTCAATCTCAAATTCGAGGAAAACATTGCAAAATTTTAACAAAAGTTAGATTGACTTAAAATCCAATCCAAAATTCATTGACTGTGATTAAAAACATTATTTGAAATATCTGCTCAAATGAAGTCAGAGTAAGTTGAATCCTGGTGATTGAATATTAACAAATATTAAAAATAACCCAGTATATCTGTATACCAGTGGTGTGATATTCTCTGATTAATACATATTTTTTAAACCTGCATCGTCCGTTACGAGCAGTCACAATGCTAATTTGCATGTCATTTGATTAGTCTACATAACCAGCAATAGTAGGCAGTAAGGTGATGATTAAAAACTGGCAATTTATGATAGATAGAGTTTTGAAATTAGATACTTATGGCTACATATAAGCTTATCAATATCAAAGACAGGCAATTGGAATCACGGCTGTAGCATTGCAAAAATTTCATAATTTACTATTCAAATATAATATCTTGTATATTTGTTTTATTATTATTATTATTATTATTATTATTATTATTATTATTATTATTATTTTGTACATTTCAAACGTCAGATTTTTAATAACATTTACAATGTGTTATTGATCTCTTAATTTCTTTCACATATACATTTTTGTCATCAACATCTGCTTTCCTAGTAATTAATTCATATAAATGTATTATTCTATTCTCAATGGTTTCCCTAACATCGTAGTTTACAGTGGTCTTCGATGTTATAAGAAATTCCAACACAGAATATATATCTAAAACATTTGTTTTCATTCACAGATTATTCAGGCCGTGGGTATGACCCCTTGTCTCTAAGCAGCTATTCCCGTCCCCCGTGCAACACAGCAGCAAGCATGCAAAGTCACATGGCGCATAATTCTCATAACGGATCATCTACGGGTAGGTCTTCACCGGAACAAATGATCTAGAGTTAGGAAATTTCGTGCCAAAGGAAATTTCTCAGAATATGATTCAACCTCCATTTGTTCTTACAAGATGATGTTGTTTTCCGTTTTCTGTTAATAATTCACTCTCATGTAAATACAATATCGATTGTAGTTCGATTTTATTGTACTTATGTGACTCATTGTGTGGTATTCTCAAACTATAACTCAGCAGCACATTTTAAAACTACCGTCGTTATTTTCCAGTCAAATACATGAAAGCTATCAACACCTGTCTAATGACTTAAAACGTATTCATTTAATTCATATTTCAAAGAAAATTGTTTAGGCCCTTAGCATCACTGAAAAGGTTTTAGAATGACAAAACTGTATGATGGAATTCAGTTCATTATTTTGCTGTTCTGTAGTTAATTAATGTTCAAAGGGTCAATTCACTTGTGTGTCGTAAGTCATTCTAATGATCAAAGTGAAATATCCTCGCCACATACGTTTTATAAAGACAAAAATGTTTGTTTTCATAACACTATGTACATGTCATATTGGTTTATTTAAAATTGAATACAAGACAGTTTTTATATTTTTTTAAATAACACATATTCCGAAAGCGTTCACGATTTATTTAACATTATTGAAATATTCATGTATTTTGAAAATGTTTTGTAAAAGTGAATAGACTTAATTATTTATCTTATTACCAATTGCAGGTCTTATATCTCCGGGAGTATCGGTACCGATACAAGTGCCAGGAGGTGGGCCCCAAGATATGAGTGCTCATCATCATATGGGATCGATGCCGTCGCAATATTGGCCCAGGCTACAATGATAGTTTAACTTTCCACGTGTGATGACAATTTGTCCAAACTTCGGAAGAATTCTTCCCCAAGTTCAAAGTTCACTCTTGATAAATTGTGATTGGTACCGATGTACATTAGACGTCTATTGTGACCAATAGAAAGAGAATGAAAAGAGCGGAATCCTAGTGTGTTTATAACAAATGCTGCGCAACGAAATCTGGATTCGGTGTAATGAAACTTTGGCGATACATCGTCAATATTTATATAGTAGAGCAATTGAAACTTCTTTAAAGCAGAAGCAAAGAAACTGGAAATCAAAGAAATTGAAAACGGTCAAATGCCTGATTGAAATTTCGTAACAAAGATGGATTCAGGAAGATTTGGTTTACAGACTCTTGGTCTTGGGATGCAGTTCTATTCTTTTCAGAAATGGATTGAATGTGAATAGAAAAAGACCTAGAACTGTTTACCATAAGGAAATGTTCGGTATCTGTGATCAAACATAGTATCAAGTATTCATTGCCAGTATTTAGTGCTCAGGAAATTACTTTATATCGCGGCGCACCCTACCGGTAGTGCTTCAAACAATTTATCATTGGTAACCAACAGTTACGTACACAGTCAAGGGCCGCCATTGGTCCGCCATCTTTGTTATCATCATTGAAATCCGTGTTCACGAAAGCCGCATAAAGGCGATTGACGAATAATGGGGGACATTAAGGATAAGAGACCTTAAATATCCAGTCAATCACAAATATACGGCAACATTCAAATGATTCCTAAGATTTTAGATGGAATTGACAAGTTGGGTCAAATTTGTAAATGTAGCTTAGAGTGATACAATGGCCCCGTTGATAGCAAACGTCACTACTTGGCTAGATATGCTGAGTAAGGTATTAATTCTAAGTTGTATGTACAAATTGATACGGCTAGAGAGTTTTTGGTCTTAATTGAAACCAATGCTAGGTTATTTGACTCAATGTTCATCACTTGATGTTTGTGACATCAACTTGAAGCTCAAGGTTCAGAATGATGTTGTAACTTTCTGTCGTTACTGTCGTTTTTAAATTTATGTCATACTTATCTCGACCTAGCTCATATAAAACAAAAAAAATATTAGAAAACCAAATGAGAAATATTGAAGAATTTGTATGATGTTATTGTATTTTATTACAATTCTTGCCTTGGTTTCCTGTTGCTTAAGCAACATATAGTTATTCGCACTGTATATTATAATTTAGCATTGATTACATTCTCCTTTAAATTTTTGGCTTTTTTATAACAAGACAAAATAATATTTAATAATATTTACTTCAAGTCTTTAATACAAAACATCCAAAGCGAATTAGAACCGAATCATACATTATTTTGCATTTATGAAAGGCAAGCACAATTTATACTTTCTGTCAAAAGTTCTCAAAAATTATCGTAATTGAATTCTTAAGTACTTGTAATTGTTAGTGTGGAAGGGTAAACGTTTTCTATATAAATATATTACTATATACATATTGTCTTACAAGCTCAAATTTGTTACTTTAAATTGTCATAGATATTCAGAATGTAATGAGTGTCGACGTGTTATTACAAATTATAATAGTTCTTATGAGAAGAGAGCTTGATCGGTTGGATGTATTGTGAGTTTGTAAGAAAGGGTGAATGTTTTATAAATATATATATGTAATAAAATAATTTTTTGTTGTGACAATTTTACACAAAAGTACACCATAGATAACAAACTATGTACCTGAATCTCACATGTTCACTTATTTATTATATGTATATAACCTTTGTTATTTTTTATAGTAATTGTCAAATTTAGTTAGCAAAGAAAAGTGAATCTTCTACTGTATTATATGGAGAGCATTTCTCAACTTCGGTTTCTAGTGCTCCTAATCTCCTTCAAAATATTCCCTTTTTATGTTATACAACTGTACTAAAACTTAAAACGAAATACGCAATTTTTGTTATGCTAAATTTTTGTTGTTTTGTTAAATTGCTAACAATTTGCTAAGTTACGTCTGCAAAGTTATCTCCCTTAGTGACCCCTCTTTCGTCTCTGGAGCCTTGCCACTGCGTGAGTGATGTTCTCAGTAATTGTGATCTCAGCCAGTATCCGATAGCTCCAAATTTGGTTATACATGACATTGTCAAGGCCAATAGAAAATAAGATTACAGCCATTAATTAACATACTTTTACAAAATTATAAATGAAATACAAGATTTTTATTGGTCACAGCAATTAATTACATAATACCATGGCAATAGTATTTCAAATTTGGATTTATTGGACTCTATCAAATTCCTTTTGGGTTTTACTTCCATTGGTAAGATCTAGTCCCTAAAATAGTAAAAACATACATAGAAGACGTATTAATTGGTCTGCTCAAACGTGATTTATGTGTAAAATGCATTTTATAAGAAATTTGTGGTTTCCGAAGCTAAGAAAAGTTAGCGTGTCGTTTTTAATTCATTTGATTGGATATTTTAATGATATTTAACGCAGAGCAAAACCCTTGCTATAAAACAGATGACGTCTTGGACAATTTGTACTATTTTGGGGACATTTTTTCATCCAAACAACATACCTCGCTTTTTGCATATTAGTGTTCATTTAATGGCGATTCTAAATGAGAATTGCCGTACATCACAAAGCCAGCAAAATTAATGATATGTTAAATAAATAGCAATAAAACTTTACATTGTTTTTTTGCCTTTTTCTTTATCCTTGTTTGCAACATACACATGAAAAGATATTTTGTTATCAATGACTGTAGGTGTTCAGCAGAAACCACGTGTTTGAATTCCGGTTATCAACAATTGGAGTTAACTACTACAAAATAATTTCATTTGGCTGATAAGAAGCTTTATTGATATAAAGGTTCCTTTAGCAAAATTGAATAACATGTAATAAACATCAAAATACTAGAAAAAAAACATATCTTCACAGAATGAAATTTAATAAATCAATTCGACTTCATTATTAGCATGTACACATACGTAAACAATGAGCAAAAGAATATCAATTTAGAACAGAAGAACATAAAGTTGAATGTGATATATTTAAGCAAAAGTACAGGGATAACGCATGATCTCAGATATTCTTATAACTTATTCTCTTACTTGATTCTAGCAGCAGTAGTTGTTACAACACGACCGACATAATACGTTGCTCAATATGACTACTATCAACAAAATGTCTGCTTAGACATTTTGTCATTATTTTCAACAAGTTCTAAGGTTTAACTAGGAGATAAATTACATCATGAAGTAACCGATAAAAACAAATAAACCAGCGTTACAAATTAGAAGTAATTGACATTGATGTCCATTTAACATTAAAACATAATGTGAATGAAAAAAGCAGCAAAGAACTAGATATTCCCAAGGCAGTTTGCCATTTTGCTGCCCTTCAGGAGAATAAATAGAAAAAATCACCATTATCAAAAAAATCCAAACGAACTTATAGTTGAAGCTATAATTATTTTTATATTTCCTTTGGAAAAAATAACAATGATAATATCTATATATTCATTTAAAGTGTCAATGTAAAAATTGGAAGATTTATACAAAAGATATTCAAGCTGATAGTAAACTCAAATACAAATTTAGAATGGGATTCGATAGAGCTAAATAATGAATTACTCATAACACAATATCGAAATAGGAAAATAGTAATCTTAAAACTTTTATAGTTATATAAAATATTGAGCAACGATTGGTTTAATTGAGTTGAAATGCAGTATAAGACGTTGGTGAGAGAGCTTGCCATAGTAGAAATTGAGTACCTGAAAAAATAATGAATTTTTTTTATGTTTAAAGGTATGTTAACAAAACAACAAAACAATATTTAAAAAAATAGTAACAACGCTGTATTGTTACGTTACTGGACAAATGATAGTAACAACACGGTATTGTTACGTTACTGAACAAGAAATAGTAACAATGCTGTATTGTAACGTTACTGAACAAGAAATAGTAACAACGCTGTATTGTTATGTTACTGGACAAATGATAGTAACAACACGGTATTGTTACGTTACTGAACAAGAAATAGTAACAATGCTGTATTGTAACGTTACTGAACAAGAAATAGTAACAACGCTGTATTGTTACGTTGCTGGACAAATACTTGTAACAATGCTGTATTGTTATATTACTAAACAAGAAAAAGTAACAACACTGTATTGTTACATTACTGAACAAGCTAGAGAATACTGACATATGTTTTTATTTTGCATAATTGTTTTCTTTTAATTGTTGATCTGAACTGTAGCCAGATGTCATATTTATCTGTTACCCAGGTTGTATTCATATTACCATAAATACTGTCTTAACAGTTTGATGATCGTTTAATATTAAGTAAATGCAATTGTATTTCAAACCTGATTAAGAACGATGGTTTATCATAAACAACAAGAAGATTAGCAGGGACATACGTTCATAAGGTCGGATGTTACGAAAAGGTTCTGCTACAAAGACTAAACCCGTCATATATATCTGAGCGAATCTAAGTTCCACAAATGAGAATCGGATAAATAAGAAGGAATTTTAAGGAGTAACAAGCACATTTACCATCATATAAGAAATTGGAATATGTTCCAATGTGATCACATTAACGACATGTTAACAAACACTATTTTGACATATTACATATAAAATATACATATACAGTAGATTCATCACAATGGAGTGTGATATTCAAACTTTGAAATTTGATTGGGCAAGTTCCTTGAAAAATATCTTTTATATTCCTTACTTAATTCATCTATTTAAGAAGGACTGAATAACATAATCAATCAAAAATTGATTCGATTATTATGCCGATTAATGATAAAAGCATCTTATAATTACGATGACACATCTTTGACTTTCATTGACAGATTTCGGATCATATTTCAAAATAAGAAAATTGAGTAGTTAACTAACAGCAAAATTATTTTGGAAAATAGAAAGGTCACGATTACTGCAATCAACAATGACACAATTGTTCCAGTCCTCTTCATGTAATATTTACTTCCAGATGCAGTTT